TCTGAATATTAGCAAAATACTAGAAAAATAAATACTGTATATTGCTTGCAAAAAACTCAGAAGTGAGTTTTACCATTTACCATTGACCAAAAGTATGATAATACAAATACAACATTGTGCGTATTGATAATTACCAGATTCAAGATGGCGTCCGTCACAGCAGGGTCATTCAGGTCGATTGTGGATTTCAGTGTTGTCATCTTAAAGATCATCATGTGTTTTTCTAGTGAAGACATAGATGTTAAATTATAGAAGATTAGCATAAATGTAATGGCAAATATTATAGAGCATAGGAATTACTTACTTGTGTGGCAGATGAAAGGAAGTTTGTCTTTGCAGTACTTTTCAACCCACTCTCCGGTGTGGTTAGCATCAAACACACTGGCACCACAGCTCTCTGTTAAATTTCTCGGGTGTCCATCAACCCAGTTTTGGAATTTGGAGTTGGCACCGCCTGACCACGACCTCCAAGTTTCTCTGTAGAGGCCGATCCACACAAACCGTTCATCGCCTACCAACTGCTGGATCTCTGAGTTCTCTTGGTCGTTTCTCACACTTGCCAGAACTGTGTGGTACGCCTTGCAGTACAACTGAGCCCTCCCCCAACTCAACTCTTCGTTTATCAAGACAAATCCCTGAGTGGCATTGGATGATGGGTCTGAAATAAATTGGAACACAAAACACATTTTTTAAATCGTCCTTCTAAATATTTTAATTTCCTGGCCACCGGTGGCCTGGTGGTTAGTTTGCACACTCCGTGTACAGAGGCTACTGGAATTAACAAACCAAAGTAAATATCCTGTTACTTACCAGTCATGTTGTTGTCATAACAGACAAAAGCAAATTCTTGCTCGCATTCATAGTCGTACCAGGTACCTTGCTGGACAGCAGCGCACAATTTTCCATATCTTTGTGTGTTATCTGGTTGACTTGTGTTCCACTTCTTGAAGTTAGACTCATTTCCATAGAAGCTTTTGTCTGACAGCAACCATTTCCAGTCCCAGCGCTTGTCACGCAGGCCAATCCACACATTCCCCTCATAACCACTACCCACAGCTGCGATCAGCCGCTTCATGTCGTCTGTGTTGCTGATGGTGGCCAAATTTGAGAACTTCTCTCTGCAGTACACTCCGGCATCAGACCAAGACTTTGGTTCATCAATGAAATGGTAGTTATGAAGGCGTGAGCACAGACCTTTAACCCAATGGACAGATATAGAAAGAAAGCGACTTGAAAGCATATTTAACAACTTCCCAAAGGGTTTCAAGACACAGTCAGGAAGTTAAAGTCTCCAAGACTTACAGTTATGTACCGTAAATGTCTGATAGAGCTTATATGGACTGCTTGTTTTGTTGTTTCATGACCTGGGTCCGCAATTCCAGGGAAGAATTCTCATACTCATCGGGTCTATGTTAGTTTGCTTTAAATTGACCTCACAGTTCTGTTAACCCAAGGTAGTGTTGTGAAAGATCTCATTTATGTACTTTTTGGCGTCACCTTTAACAACATTTTTGGACCTATCTCCAACAGATTTCATCCTGATTGAGGGTTTTCACTGTCCTCATCTGAATGTCCATTCTGCTTCTTTTCTTTGGATTTGCAGCTGTTTTTTTGAGTTTTTGTCACGAGTCATTGATCTTTGGTTTGGTTTTCATTTATTAATCATTCATCATTATAAGGTTTAAGCCTGTTTTAGGTGGATTTCGTTTCAGAAACAAACTGGAAAGAAATGCCAAAAAATGTGAATTAAAGTTCATAACATTAACAAAAAAATGTTTAGTAAAATGTAAATAATGTGCTTTTCGGTTCAAATAAATGACAAAAGTCAGTGGAAATTCTGATGCATCCAACTCGTAAAACATGTATTAATTTGCATAAGCTTTCAGATTTTCTTGAAATCTGGTTACGATTTGCATTAAATTTATAATGGAAACTAGAAGATGGTTACTTTAATAACCAATCATGATTAAAGAAAGGGAACATGCTTAGTCATAGTTTGGATGATTGGCTGTTGTTGGGAAATAGAAAACTCATATCTGATGCATTTGTGTGTGTGCACAAATGTCCAGTTTGAAAACGGGATTAATAGAAATCAACCCCAAACCCTAACCCTAACATCGTTCTGGAGGAACGCATTTCAAAACTCTATTTGATCGAAGGCTGAAGACCCAGCTCTTTCATGAATACCTACGACCTTAATGATGATGATGATGATGATGACGGTTTTGATGAATCTTTACATTAATGTTTAGAATTTAACAGATTGGCTGCCAATGTGTTTGCACTGGCATCCTTGTTCCCCAAGAATACAATTTGATTTTTGTTAATCACTGTAAAATTATTGCTCAACATAGAATGCAATATTGAAAATCATGATGAGCATGTTTGCAGGAATTACTGTAAAATGAAATTCAATGTATGTTTAGATGCAGACTAACCTGATGACAGTAGAACCCACAACACGGCCGCTCCAATACCTGAGGACGAGAAAATAATCCTTGAAAAAAACCTATGACCATTTTTAGAAACTACATAGCATTACTTTTTTTTGACAAAAGCCATGAACTTGATCTCAGTTTTAAACTTAGCAATAAACTGTCTTCTCATCTATGTATGAAACAGCTTTGTTGTTGGTCAGGAGAAACACTGTGGGGGTTTTGTTAAGTTTTGTGGAATATTAATTAATATTCATGAGGCAATCCGTTTTGTCTTCAAGTCCAAATGTTGAAACATATTTCTTACCAGGACATGCTGGCCTCCAGAGCGCTGTCATCTCCAAATCCTCCAGTTATTTATCTTAATATCTTTGAAATTTAATCTGCTACATTGGCAAACATCCTTCTTCCAGCCTTCTTACATCCCCTCCTTCTTCATCTTCTTCTTATTCCCTCTCCTGAGAGACAGTAAGCACAGAAGATATGCAAAACATCCGCCATCTCAATTTATGGCAGATGTAATGTGATCTTGTGCACCTCCTTTTCAGGAACCCGAGCATGAAGCCTCTTTAGATTATAACGTATCTTTGACTTTTAAGAATCAAAATGCACAAGACAATAGGATCAAAAATGGGCAGAATTAGTGACAAAGCTTTAAAAGTGAGACTAACCTTCAATGATGCATGGATGGCTTACAAAATGTGTGATTGTGTTAAGTTCAAAGATGCAAACCAGATGTAAAGCCACACAAAGTCACTGCAAGAAAGTGAGCCAACATGACGTGACAGGTGGCTCCTGGTTTGGCTAAGCAAATTTATGTTTGAGATAAATCCAGACATGGTAGTGTAGAACAGTAGGCTGACAATATAACCTTAATATTTCTGGGTGGCATTAAGATGTAACAATGACTCAAGTAGGGCTAAGATTCTGATGCTCTGGTTCATTATTGGTGTGAACTACAAGAGACACAAGTTAGATATTTCTAAGGAATCACATCAGTTAAATGTTTTAATATTAAACCCCTGAGGATAACATTTACTTCCTGTTGAAGGTTGAACTCAAACTCCATGTTTGGTTTTTAAGGACATCTGGTACAACTTCAACCAAAAGTATTTGTCCGTCCATTGTAGAAGGTTGACGCCAACGCAACATCTGGTTTTGATTAATTTTCCAACTTTAAACTTCTATCATGAATTCCACGTCTAATGATGTCCAACGTTGGTGGTTAACATCAAGATGGTAAAATGGTTTGACCAAGTTTTTCCTTTCCAATTAAATATAATGGTTGTCCATTGTTGGTTGATGTTAACCCAATGGTGGGTTTATCTCAACCATCAATGTTCGTCTGTAGTTGGTAGTTGATATCAAGTCAATCATGTTCTTTGAAATTAACCAGATTTTTATTTCCAGCATCCATCCAATGTTAAAGGGTTAAAGTCAAACCCAATGTTTGGTTTTGAAAGTTATCTCGTAACAATTCTAACAAATAAATTGATTTTCTGATGGTGAATGTTATGGTTTAAGTTGGACTCTGATGGCTATCCTATTGAAATTTTAAATCAGAAATCAATGTCTAACACTATGGTAGATGATGCTAATCCAATGTTAAGTTTTGATGTTTGCCATGGTTTCATTTCCAGCCATAATTCACTGGCTTGGAACATTAAATTAAGAAACCATACACATTGAAATATCAACATTTTATTACAAGTTTTGCATAAAAATATATTTGAAAGGCTGGATTTCCTTTTCTATTTGTACAGCGAATGATCCACTAATCACATGAGGCCCAACCATGGGGATCTGAGCAGAGCATCCAACAGCTGGATCTTACATAGAGACGCATGATGATTTTAATCAATGAGGTTCTTCTTTAAAACAGTATTCTACCCCTAACTATACATTTGCGTGGGAAACACTTTATTTTTACAGTTGTTTTTACAGCAATTAAATGAAATGCTAATGTCTTTTGTATGGTTTTGGTGACATCATGGGTAAAACTTCTGCAACTATTAACTTACTTCTACTTTGGATGCCATATCATCTAGAAATGTATTTAGAAAGTTATATTTGGTGGAAATATAACTGACCATTTGAAGAAAAAAGTGTATTTCAATGAAGTTATAAATTCTATTATAGCACATCCTGTTTGTGCTTTATGGGCTTGTAAAATTTCCCATCACACGCCTGTCACATGTCCTCTAACCTGAACCTTAAACAGAACAACTGGTTTTGTTACAGTAAGTAGCTTACCGGAAAACTGGGTGTAAAAGAACCACTTCTTTTCAATTTAGGCCTTTATTTAAGTCTAAGTAGTTAAGTAAGTTCTAGTAGATTATGTTTAGTTGTATTGTCTCAAGGAAACCTTGACAATATGAACAGGCCATAAACACAGAATATTTTTAATTAAATGTAGCGCAGCAGCATTCCTCAGGTCAGTCTACTTTGTGTGTGTTTCAGGTGTGTCATAACTGGAAAATGTTAACCATTGGACTTTAACACCACACCCATGAAGCTAACACACTCCTTCCCTGTGTGAGAGCTACTATTATGTATTCCCATGATCATATCTTCCCACACACAGTAACACAAAGCTCCTGCCACAGCATGTGATCATCAAAACTACCAAAACAGAAACTAATGGTAGGTTAAAATGGGTGTTTTAAACTGAGGAAAAGGAACAGTCAGCAGAAACAAGTGCTGGGCTCTGGAGAGGGAGGGCCTAAAGCTGATGAATAACTGTGTTGACGTTACATTTTCCTGTTTCACAGCTATCCCTGTAATTTATTCATAACCATTCATAGAGCAGGAGAGTCACCTGCTCTGCCGTCACTGAGGACGAGAAGTGTGGTTTAACAGCTTTACCTGTTTACAAGAGAAGAAGCTGTAAGTATGAGCGTTATTTAGTAAGAGCTCAAATATGATTTACTGTGTTGTGACATCGACCGTTAAGTTTATCAGTTTGTATTCTTTAAACTATTGATTGTACAAAAGGAGAAAGTACTTGTTGAGTATGCATACCAGCTGCCAGAATCTGGAGAGGATATGCAAATAGATGTTTGTATAGGCTGGGTTAAAAACACTTTGGTATTATGTCAGCGTTTATGAAATTGTTACATTACATCTAGTTTTGACTAAGTGGGGTTAAAGTTGCTATTTCTTTACATAGTTCTATAAAATGCTAACGTTGCTATAGGCTGTCAAAGGGTTGAAATGTCCACCAACAGCTGTTTTGGACCCATAAACCATCTATATCTAAATATATATCTTTATTTAAGGATCTAATTATGCGATTAACTGTGTTGACTGCATTCATGTTGGGTTTGATGAATCAGCTCTGTGACAGGCCTTAGCCCGTCCTGTGTTGGTACTGTAGGCTACTCAAGGGATTACATTGATTTACTAAAAACAATCAATGCATTGTCCAGTATAACATGTAAAAAAAGTGAGTTTAAAGGTGCTAGTTAACTGTTTTTGTTTCTTATGGACTTAGCTAGGCCAGCTGTATTGATCACTACGTCCAGAATAGGTGCTATGCTAACTTTAGTTTAGATAATCTGGCTGTAGCTTCATTTTGGGAAAGAGAATACGCTTCTGAAATAACTGTTCTTAAATAACTGTTGGTTTTTCAGTGAATATCCATTCTTTACGAATTTTAAGAAAAAACGATACAAGGCTACATGTTAGTGAGTTTTAGAGCTGCTTGGCAAATTTGTTTACTTTTTAACATAGCAAAGCTAGCTGTGTCGTATTGCTCTTCTGAGAATTTACGCTAGTCTAAGCTAATTTATGCTAGGCTAAATGTATAAGATGCTGGCTTTTAACTCAGTTTCCAATTGAGAAAGCAAAAAGCTTATGTCTAACTCTAAGTCAGCAAGTGTTCTGAATTACCCCTGAATAATCTCTTTCACTTTTATTTAACTTTCCTGTACGACCCTGAGCTAGCTGTGTAAAACATGATAGCTATCTTGTGATTTAGATTGCAGCATTTAAACATTTCTTAGTAAGTGTTCTCCAGCTTAAGGGGGACACACCACTACATAATCAACTTGCATTAAATCTTGAGAGTGGTTGACTCTGAAATTTACTAGCCTGTGTTATGGTAAACGTAAGTTAGCTTGCTAATATCTCCCAGTGAACGGAAAAACAGGTAGCCTACTTTGCAGATGTTGGAACAATTTGACCTGTTGGATAGAGTCTTAAATCAGGTAGAGAGAGAGTGGGGAACAACATATGTGGAAGGAGCCAGGTTGGACTTGAACCCGGGTCACCCGCTTTGAGGACTACATCCTCCGTTCATGGGTCGCAAGCTAACGACTCGGACAATGGTGCCTCCTGTATGATATTTATTAAATTTCCAAGGGTCTAATTGTCAAATGATACAAACAAACTTGAATACAAATAGAGGGTTGAATCAACGCCTTCCTTCTTCCTCTACTCTCCTATGTCTTTAAAGTAGGGAGATTAAATTACGTAGCAGAACTGTACATATAATTATAGGATTTTTTTTCTATTGGTAAAAGGGTGTTGGTGCATCGGTGTAACTATGTGTCTTGTTTCTCCAGGAATTGTGGGTGTGTCTGCTTGGTATATTAGGCTGAGAACACGTTGACTCATACACCATGCACAACAAACAGTGCATGTTTTGAGAGTCCTGAAATTCAAGCTGCACACGTTGTTATTTCTTGATCTTTTCTCATAATTTTATAATCTGCATGTCTGATTGCTGTCTTTTTAAAGCACTATGTAACTCTGTGCTCTATAAATAACGGTTATTCTTAATATTATTACATAGGTTTCAAGCTCTGTATATACTGTATTTACACAGGGCATTTGATAATAAGAAGGTTGTTTGAATCTGTGGCTCTCAACTGGTCAAACTTCAAAGCCCAACACCAAACTCCTTCTTAAAAATCATGACCCAAATTTCTGATATTTCTTTCAAAGAATCAGATTTATAGAATGAGAAAAAGTGCAGTTTGGACCTCAGATGGTACCAAAAGTGATGGAATAAAGAGAACAAACAAAATCCAGCACATTTAAAGAGCGATTCATGGAATTTTGGTACTTGTTTTTGGGTCCCGACCCACCTGTTGAGAACCTCTGATTTAAAAAAAAAAAAATGACACTAAAACCAGGCACATTTGGTCAATTTGAGGGATATTTTAACTTGTTTATGTTTAAGACTATAACAGTATGGATATTCAGTACTTTTTCTACCTGTTCCTGTACATGTTTGTTCCGTGCTGTAATTTTTAACTTCCTCTATCAAAGGCATTTAGGGAAAAACATTTGAACTGACTTCCTTCTTTTGCAGGCAATGGCTTCCTCAGGTAACGTGCTACAAGAAAAACAGTTCCAGTGCACCATCTGTATGCAAGTGTTCACCGACCCAGTCACCACTCCCTGCGGACACAACTTCTGCCTTGCGTGCATCCAGAGTGTGTGGGAGAGCAGTGACGTCTGCCAGTGTCCTGCCTGCAATAAATCATTCAGCTCCCGGCCTGAAATCAGCATCAACACAGCCTTCAAAGAGCTGGCGGACACATTTAGAAATATCATAGTCAGTTCGTCAGCTTCCCCACTGTTGGCAGCCAAACCTGGCGAGGTGGTGTGCGATGTCTGTGCGGCAATGTCCCAGCAGGTGAAGGCCAAGAAGTCCTGCCTGGGGTGTCTGACGTCGTATTGTGACGCTCACCTGGAGCCCCACCAGAGGGTCGCCACCCTGAAGGTCCACAAGCTGATTGATCCGGTGAAGAACCTGCAGGAGAGGATGTGCAAGAAGCATGACAGGCTGCTGGAGATGTTCTGCAGGGACGAGCAGAAGTGTGTGTGCCAGTTCTGCACTGAGACCGAGCACAAAGGTCACCGGGCCGTCAAGATAGAGCAAGAGAGTGGGGAGAGGAAGGTACAAAAGAGTGCTTTAAAAGTATTCTAAGATCCTGCAAATAATACAGAATCTGAAGGTGATGGAAACAGAAGCCTTTTATCTTTCTATCAATTTAAGTTTCAGCCAACCTTGGCTGTATGCAGGAAAACAGTCTAGGGAAAGTAAAAGAAGTGAATTCATCAGCTGAAGACAAAAATTACGTTTTTATTATCTCTTGAGGCAGATATTTCAATTCGACTCTCATTATTAGTTGGACTGTAAACATAACAAACACATAAAAGGAAAGTCTTGGCCCTGATATCTTGTATGACTCATCTTTGCATCAGCCACAACAGAAAACCCTGAATAGTTGATCAGGAAATAGAGAAAGATGGATTGTCACTTAGAAATGATGTTCAATGCTCAGCTAATCTCAACTGAAGAAAACCGTAAATTCCTCACAGAGCCTGAAAAGAGCCGTTTTCACATATGCACTCCGGATAATATCTAGATATTTACAGGAGAACTGATTCTCCTGAACTAGCCGTTCACATATGCTCCTCACAGCGGGGGACTTTCCCTGTCAGAGGGGAGGGGGCGCGGGGGATTTCCGAGGTAAGACGTGACGTAAATAAACAACGTGGAAGTAATGGCCGAAGCAACAGAGTCCGCTACACGACGTTATAATGAGAATATTTGCCTTTATATCAATGCTATGTGTAATCCAATGGAATGACAACATCCACAAAAGAGAGGAGAACAACATACTGACCAACAGAAAACAGAATGCAGACGTTTAATTACGTGCACAGAGTTCGTAGTGGTCACGTGCAGACACTTTAGCTGGTCACTATATAAACGTCACTCGGGTCCCATTGGCTCGAATTGAAATCTCCGGAGTATATTCGACCGCGTTCAGACATCAGCTCACTCTGATTTTCTGCAGAAAAAATACGAGGGGTCTGGCCGGAGAAGCTCCGGGTAAAGTCGCGCGAAAAATGCGGCTGTTTGCTTTCACACATAGCCTAAAGAACCTCCGGGTAGCCAAATCTCCGGAGTTTTTCAGGAGATTTCCGTATGTGTGAAAAGGGTTAAGGTGATAGATAGGGAAAGTTGATGAACGAAGAGTCTTGTTTTGTAAGGGACAAGCAAATGTACCAACTGGTGATTTTGATTTCTGTTCTGTCTGTTCAGGTCCAAATGAAGGAAACTGAGGCAGATTTTAAGCAGATGATCCTGGAACGAGGGTGTAAAATCGAGGAGATCAAAAACTGCCTGAAGCTCAGCACTGTGAGTTTTAGGGAAAATAATGATCCCTGGGAGGCAATGTTTTCAGTGGTATCTGAATGTTAGCTTAGCCCTGCTTGCTCATATATTCCAGCCATCCCTGCTTATATACAGTATGAAGGCAAATATTTACCCCCTTAAGTTTTTATTCTGATGTCTTTTTTAATCTCTCCTCCAGATTAGTGCAGAGAAGGAGCTGAAGGAAAATGACCGCCTGTGTACGTCTCTGGTTCGCTCTGTCCAGGAGAGACAAGCTGAGGTCAACTCGGAAGTGAGAGAGAAGCAGAAAGCGGCCGAGAGGAGGGCCGAGGAGCTCACCGACGAGCTGCAGCAGGAAATCGACGAACTGCAGAGGAGACGCGCTGAGCTGGAGACGCTGGGGAGCACAGACGATCACCTGCACCTCTTACAGGTCCGGGATTTTATAGAAGCCTAAAGTGGCCAATGCTTGAAAAAAAGTTGAATCGTTGTTTTTTTTTTTTAACTCGAGATCTCGAGGGGAATAATTAGCACGGGTAAACATTTAGTTTGAGATCACAGCTCAATGATGAAGAACAGGAAAAAAACGAGAGTCCACCTCACCTGACCCCTCTTGATTTCAGCAACAAAAATCACTGTTCATGACTGTTGGAAAGAAATCATAACTAACTTAAACTTAGCCTAATGGTTGATCCATAATGGGTTCACTTAAATATAAGCTATCACACCTCAGCACAGGCTAACTGCTCATTAGGGCCAACACCAACTCCGCGGGTAAAAGCTAACCCAAGGTTCCCCCTCAAATTTGAACAAGCTTTATCCGCTTGGCGTTTTGCCTCACCATGATCATATGTTCTCTTTTTTGCCGTTACTTAGCCGCCATATTCGCTAAGTTTAAACTGCGCCCAATCACTGAATTGTATCCAAGTCTACGTTTTATTTTTAGGAATAAGCTACTGACTCTTTCTTTAATGAATGCAATGCCTCAATTCTGCAACAATATTCCACTTTATGTTTCTTTCTCTTGTAGAGGTTTTCCGCTCTTACTTCACCTCCGCCCAGTAAAGAGTGGACGGAGATCGGCGTCTACCCTGAACTCTGTGTGGGGACAACGAGGAAAGCCCTGTCCAAACTGGACGACACCCTGAAGAAGGAACTGGACAGTTTGAAGAGAAACGGTAAAATTCACCGACAAGTCATGTCCGGGCGGTGTTAGCCGTCATACTTCATGCTTTGCATTTGATTGAGTTAAAAACCAATCATCAGAAATTAACAAAAAATGTAATATAGCATTTTTATCTTTCTGGCAGAGATGAAGAAGATGCAGAAATATGCAGGTAAGACCAAACCCGTGTTTTTGGCGAGTTTACATATATGTAATACGTCAGTGCGGGACACAATATATCCACTTGTTTTTAACACCATGTAAACACAATGATAGATGTGATTGTATTTGAAGTAGATTTTTAGTGTTGCTCTTTACTCTGTCTTATATTCAAAGTGGACGTGGTTTTAGACCCAGACTCCGCCCATCCGAACATCGTCTTGTCGCCTGATGGGAAGCAGGTGGGTCGCGGAGAGCTGCTTCACATTGTGCCAGACAACCCCCAGCGCTTTGACCCGGTCATCTGTGTTGTGGGGAAGAGCGGCTTCCTGTCGGGCCGGATCTACTTCCAGGTCTTGATTGTTGTTGTATTCATTTCATATAAATCGCAGACGCCACAAGATCAAGTTGGCAATGGTAAATGTTTCATATCATTTTTTCCTTGTCATCCAGGTCGCAGTGGAGTCAAAGACCTTCTGGGATGTTGGCATGGTGAAAGAGTCCGTCAACAGGAAGGGGATGATCACTTCCAAGCCGGAAAACGGCTACTGGACGGTGCGGCTGAGGAACGGGAATGAGTATCGCGCGCTGGACTCCCCCTCAGTACTCATTCCCCTCAAGGAGAAGCCGCGGACACTTGGAATTTTTGCTGACTACGAGGAAGGGACTGTGTCTTTCTTTAACGTGGACACTGGATCTCACATCTACACCTTCACTGGGTGTTTGTTTTCCGAGAGGATCTTCCCCTTCTTCAGCCCGGGGGTTTGCGATGATGGGAAGAATACGGCGCCTCTGATCATCACAGCTGTTAATCATTAGACTTACTGACTCCAAGTGTGTTGCTCTGGTTGTTTTCACACAGACATATTTTTCATCTTTATCCGGAAATCTACTGTACACACATCAGCAGATTCAAAAAGTCTACAATCCCACACAAATACAGTGTTCCGATACCATTTTACCTTTTACGTTAGCTTGAATTGAGATTGAGACGATACAGTGAAAATTATTTATTTGAACCTTTTATTCGTAATTTTTAGCAGCTCTAAACTTCGACAATGTGATCAAGTTATTCAAGTAAATGGTTAAACGTTGTCACACTAGAATAACAAGTCAGTAAAGATTTTTAATTCATGCCCGTTATGGCAAACATTTTTGTTGAAGCAGCAGCCCGTCACTATCCAGGGCTCTTGCTCTGGTAAATAGCTACTTTCCCACTGTGATAAAGATCTACTACCTGGATGTAAACCAGCACAGTGGGCGGGTGGCATCTCGTAATGCAGGCAATTCAGCAGTATTTTGATCTTAAAAATTCAGACAAAGTTTGATGTGGGCTGTATCAATTTAAACTGGAATACAACCACTCAACCAGTCCAATGCATAACCAGCACAGGCATGTGAACGTGAACCTGCAGGGAGGACTGAAGGCTGGTCATGCTAGCACCGCTAATGTTAACCATGCTCAGAAAAAACAATTCGACATTATTTACCTGCTGACGCTTTGATTCCATGTTTAGCCGTTTTAAATATGTATAGTGCTTAATTTTGAAGGTTCTCTGAAAACTAGATTAGTTAAACTGAAACTTAACTTGAATTTAAGTTACTGTGAAGATATCCGCCTTGGGACATCCCTAAATATGAATCCTACAGTCAAAACAAACTGAGTGAAACTTTACAGTAACTATGCTCACAGTTTTTCCAGCCATTCAGAAAAACTCTTCCAAATAGCTTTTAAAAAAAGATTTTAATAATCTTAACTTGATATCAATAATAATAATACCCCCTTAATTTGCATTTTTGCTAGTTTTGAGTTCAGTCGCGCTGTATGCTGGCACCATACTGTAGTTGTTTGCTAACGTCACAATTTTTTTTTCCTGAAATGTGTTCTTCTTTGCTGCCCAAAAAACAGTACTTAACAGAGGCAGCAATGACCTATACAATGTATTTTCTGTGAAGACTACTGTTTTCTAGACGATACAAGTCCATATTTGAAGGTGCTAGTAAATTAGGATTTTCAGATCTTGCATTCCAATCTCCCTGATACCCATATCGGCTTTTTAGACTATTGGAATCGGTATTGTCAGGACATCTGTTCAAGGGACACAAACCTTTCTATCTCAAAGATGAAAGTTATTCATGATTTCTTACATTACTGTATTATCAATTATACCACTGTAGTAGTATTGCAGTTCATTTTTCTAAAAGCAGCTCATGAATGTAGGCCGATTTGTGACAACAAACCAAACCATGACAAGTACAGGTAAAATCCAAACTTCGGCATTGGCAGTATAAAATGTTTATTTGTGTGCCTCAACTGTATACCTTAAAGCCCTAAATGTAAATCAATCACACCTTTGCAAAAGTATACCTTACATGTTTGTGGTTGTGCTATGGACTCAAGGGGCTAAGGGAAGTATTGTACTTCATATTTGTGGCCCAGAAAATTCATTGACTATTTCAGACATTCGGGAGGTGCTAGTTTACTTTTTGTTATAATTTAAATGTATTTTGATCTGTTTCTCGTGGTGATTTGTTTCTGAAATAAAGAGTGTTTACTTTTTTGTCTCTGCACCCTGGAAACTTTTCTGTTTTGCAAAACGTTTGCAATCGTCTCTGCAGTGTTTCCATGTGCTTTGCATTATGAGAGGCCATGTTGCCTGCCATGCATGACGGATATCAGGAAGCATTAAGAAGGAAACTTCAGCTACAAGTTCTTGCTGCTGTACAGATGATCGTCCTTATACAGCTGTGAACTCTATCCTACTGAAACTGACATGATAATATCGTTCTTTTTAGAAACAATATCTGTCGCTGTAGCTCATATTTACATTGCTGCTGTAGAACAAGCTTCATTCAAATTACCGTGTTGCTATCTCATAAAGCTATCAGGGCTGATGCCTTAGCAAACAATGGTCTATTTACACATCCCATGTGAAGGAACAACATTCATTACTGTTTACAAGACAGATGTAGGTCAACCGTAGACATACAAGAAGTGTACTTAGCTACTCCCATGGGAATGCCATTTAAAGGTCCATGTTTGGCGTTATTGTTCTTTTGTTAAAGTCTGAAGTGACCATATTAGGACATGAGGCTGGACCTTTTTGACTTGCCTTTGCCTTTTGTCTCAGATTTGTGTACAGAACCAGGACTGTTTAATAAACCTGTCTTTTTTTCCATTGAATCCTTTTTAAAGTATGTCTTTGTGTCACTTTGGTCCATTGCTCTTAGAGGGCAGACTTCCTGACGGGAAAATAATGTTGCATCAACACGATAGGAAAATGTCTCAAGGGATTAAGAGTAGATCCACTTATTTGAATATGTTTGGGGTTTATTGCTTTTTAAGACAGATGAAGACACAAGTCATCGGAGAAGACAGCTCACAGTACATTAGAGAGATATCCTGCTCTTTCCTTTACATGTAAGTTATATTGTTTTTCCTATTAAGTGAGACTATTGATAATGGTCTTTGGATAACTTTGGAGTCTTGACTTTTCTACATGAATTGTGTTATTATCTCTTTGAAAACACGGACCATGGAGAGGGTAATGTTTGGCACTTTGGTGCTTTCAGGTGAAGTATGGATTAAAGATCATCTTCATTCATTTCAGACAAATTAGCAAATTAACCAAAAGCTAACTAATAGTTTGATTTTGCGTTGTCAATAGGGCTGTACCATTTTGCAATCTCTCTCCATTACAAGCAGTATCACTTCATCAGCCAGAGCAAAACTTGGGGTAATGCTTTGCAACATTGTCGAACAAAATACACCGATTTGGCCACCGTCAACAACCAGCAAGACCTGGAGGACCTAGCTAGTCTGACTGGGTCTAGCGTTACACAAGTCTTCTTAGGTCTGTACAGACCTTGGGGCTGGTCCCGGTCAGACGCTGATGACTACAGAGAGGAAGAGCCAGCCTACTGGAACTGGGAAAAAAGCAGTTTTCCATATACAGACTGCGGTCTCATAGCAAGGAATGGACTATGGTCTCCTAAAGCATGCACCTCTGCTTTGAAATTCTTCTGCTACGACAGTAAGAATATGAAGCATGTTTTAATAACACTCTGCGGTGGTGGTGGTGGTGATGGTTACATTTAAAATGGCATGCAGTCACAGGGCTGATGATACGACATTGTGGTTATATATATTAATTATGATCTAAAAATTACTGCCATCCAACAGAAACATGATCCAAGATTTCTTCCCATTTGGAAAGATCTTCAAATCAAAATGTCTGTAAAAAAAAAACCTCATTGTGCAGATATAAATGAAAAAGGGGCATCCGGACTCCACTGCACAGTTCCAACAAATGCAGTTAAGTTATTGCATCCAATTAGCTTTGTGTCATCACCACTCATTACAAGTCTTTTTTTAAATGTCAATTTCTTATGAAAAAAGCGACCATATGCCTGGCCCACGTTGGCTTAAAACCACCACACATTAAAACCAGATCCTTACTTTGGAGTCACATCCTCAGACCATTGCCTTCTGACAAGAATTTTAGAGAGTCACCAATATTAGCAAAATAGTATAATAATAGTTATATATTATTATAATAGTATTATAATAATATAATAGCAAAACTCTGCTCATCTTCTCACACATTCACACACCTGTGACCACATCATCCCCGTCCTTCATAACCTCCACTGGCTCCCCATCCCCCCAGCGTATCCACTTCAGACTCCTCATCATCACACTGCAAAGCCCTCCATGACCTGGACCTTCAAGAAATCTTGAACTTGTACTTACTGACTGCATAGAGGACAAGTTTAGATTGAGCTTTTGATGCATGTTGCATATGGTGCTTGCCTAAATAGAAATCATACACTGTGTGATATTTGCAGGGTCTGCGACTAATATCTCCCAAAGTTTTATTTTGGGGGAAGGCTCCTTGGACTGGTTGGCTGCTCAGACGTACTGCAGGACCCACCACACAGACCTGGCCAGAGTGCGAAACCAGCTTGAAAATGATCACTTCAGAAGAGTATGACGGAGGACTTGATGTGGATTGGGTTGACACGGACCTACTGGGTCTGGTCTGATGGGAGTGAACCCTCATTCACACCCTGGCTTCTGATAATGCCCCAGATTCCATACCATAACTGTGTTGCACTTCAGGTCAACAGCAAACCTCCTGGGATGTTGAACACTCAGTGCAGTGTGGAAATAAATAAATGTGGAAATAAATAAATGTATAAATAAATTTAAGACATTTAATTATTTATGTCCCATTTATTTACCAGTTTTCATTTATTTATTCACACAGTTATTTATTTATTTATTCTTTTATTTATTTTTTCCAGTATTTATTTCCACATTTATTTATTTATTTCAGTATTTATTTCTACATTTATTTATTTATTTTAGTATTTATTTCTACACTTATTTATTTATTTTAGTATTTATTTCTACATTTATTTATTTATTTCAGTATTTATTTATTTTTTCCAGTATTTATTTCTACATTTATTTATTTATTTCAGAATTTATTTCTACATTTATTTATTTATTTCAGAATTTATTTCTACATTTATTTATTTATTTCAGAATTTATTTCTACATTTATTTATTTATTTCAGTATTTATTTATTTATTTCAGTATTTATTTATTTATTTCAGAATTTATTTCTACATTTATTTATTTATTTCTACATTTATTTCAGTATTTATTTATTTATTTTAGTATTTATTTATACATTTATTTATTTATTTATACTTCTGTCAGATCTCGTCCTCCATATACTTCACCACTGCATACAGGTAATAGATGCAGTTACATGCTGCGGCCGCTAGGGGCAGTAGCGCCTCCCTCTCCTCTTGAGACGGTCGACGCCCAGGCTGCTTGTACGGACGGAAAGAAGGAGCAGCCTCTCTCCAAGATGGCGGCGACCATAGACAACAGCAATGCCGTGCAGGCGACAAAGAAAAAGCACCTCGGGATCCCCGAAGCTGTGTTCGTGGTACGTAAACGTTGACGTTTCTCTTTTAGCATCGTACCCCCCTGCAGAAGTAAGACCGCGGAAACCCCGTTTTTACCACGCCGAGCCTGCTGTCTGCGCGTCATGCTGGCTACATGTTAGCACGCTAAGCTAACTGGTTAATCCTGCTGTGTGTGTGTGTGTGTGTGTGTGCGTGCGCGCGCAGGCTGGGCGGCTGCTCGCGTCCATCTATGGAGATCATGGTGTCAGTGTGTGAGTCACACTGCTCCTCGTGTCCTCTTCAGGTGTTTTAGTTACCTCTATTAGCTTTAGCTTCGTGTGTGTGTGTGTGTGTGTGTGTGTGTGTGTGTGTGTGTGTGTGTGTGTGTGTGTGTGTGTGTGTGTGTGTGTGTGTGTGTGTGTGTGTGTGTGTGTGTGTGTGTGTGTGTGTGTGTGTGTGTGTGTGTGTGTGTGTGTGCTGCTACTACTAAACCTGCATCATTATGTTAGTGTGTATTAATAAACCCCCCCCTGAAGGACCCCTAACCCCCCTGAAGGACCCCTAACCCCCCCCTGAAGGACCCTAACCCCCCCCTGAAGGACCCCTCTCCCCCTGAAGGACCCCTAACCCCCCCTGAAGGACCCCTCCCCCCCTGAAGGACCCTAACCCCCCCTGAAGGACCCCTAACCCCCCCCTGAAGGACCCCTCTCCCCCTGAAGGACCCCTAACCCCCCTGAAGGACCCCTAACCCCCCTGAAGGACCCCTCTCCCCCTGAAGGACCCCTCCCCCCTGAAGGACCCCTAACCCCCTGAAGGACCCTCTCCCCCCTGAAGGACCCCTAACCCCCCTGAAGGACCCCTAACCCCCCCCTGAAGGACCCCTAACCCCCCCTGAAGGACCCCTAACTGTTAAATTACACAACAAACCTCCTTCTGAGAATGAAGCATGACTCAAAGTTTCATTAAAATTAAATAAGTTTATGATAAAGGAAATATAGTATTCCACTCTTAATGTTTAGGACCCTATGTAGCCCCCTTAGTGACATCCTTCAGACCCTGGGGTGCGTTCCAATTGTCATTTTTGCTTAGGAAGGTTCCTGAGGCCGTGTTCACACTTGACTTCTTTTTTTCAACTGCCAGCGCCTTTTTTTTTTCACATACAAGCCTATGAAAAAAAAAAAGGATGGCGCCTTTTCAAAAGCGCCGCGCCCGACGCCTTTTTCAGTTGAATTATTTCAGCTTTTCAGAAAAGCGCTGGGTGACGTCAAGCGCCTTTCTGACAGCGGACCAATCAGGACGAGTAGTAACCTACGTCCCTAGTTACCGGTGCCCAACAACGGCCAACTTCCACCAGATATGTGTGCATTGGTGTCCGCTCCGGTCCGTTACGGGAGCCTCATCCGTCAACACCCAGCGGCTGCGTTCTCAGTCTGCAGCACGGAGAGCTGGAGCACGAAGACAGAGGAGTTTCCGTGGTCATTTTACAGATTCACTTGCAACAGCACGAGATAATACGATGTTCGTGGTATAGAACTCAATAAAAACCTTATAAACACATAAACAAACACACAAACAAACACATAACTAAACGGTCTTTTTTATCGTTGTATCGGTGTCTGACTTCCCGTCCCGCTTGTTCTTTTCTGTGCTAAATTGATGCGTTGTGCTCCGGCGCGGATGCACCGCAGACTAGATCCCGTTGTTATGGTTACAGAACACTCGCGTATAAGCGCTCAAAAGGCGCTGAAAAAAGAAGTCAAGTGTGAACGCGGCCTAAGCCATGATTCTTATCTTAAGTCATTTGTTGGTCATTTATTAGCAACAAAGTGCACTAACAGATTTATAAAAGATGCTGAGTTTGAAGTAATCTAAAAACAGTGTTGCTGTAACATAGTTTGTCCACCAGGGGGGCGCCGGTTATTTTCCTTTTCACGCTCCTGGTCGTTTGTTTCAGAGAGGATATTCTCTGTCAGTGACTCACCCAGGACTCTCTCCTCTGCTTCACTTCACAGGAGGATGTGGACTCTTTCATGAAGCAGCCGGGCAACGAGACGGCGGATTCAGCTCTGAGGAAGCTGGACGAGCAGTACCAGAAGTATAAATATATGGAGCTGAACCTGTCCCAAAAGAAGCTCAGGTAACGCCACCGAGGAGACGTCTGTGCTGCTTCAAATTTCATGTTTGTTGAACATTTACCTTGATATTCACAGTCGTGTATCTACATCCATCAATGAGCATGTTCTCTAAATGATCTGGACTAAAAGTTGTTCTGATTATTTGTAGGTTGAAGAATCAGATCCCGCAAATCACACAGACGCTAGAAATCCTACGACACATGCAGAAGAAGAAGGTGGCACACATTTTAGAGAATAAAGCATATTTCCGACTGTACGTTTGTCTAAACACTTCTGTTAATATTTTCCAGGAGACCACAGAGCCGATGGAAACGCACTTCCTATTGGGTAACAACGTTTACTGCAAGGCCTCAGTGCCGCCCACCAACAAAGTCTGCCTTTGGCTAGGGGTAAGTCAAGGTGCATGCTACCTGAACAGTGACATTTTAAATTAGTTCAGTGAGTGTGTTAAAGAGGTTTAAGTCAGCATCAGGATTGTTTTATATCATGTGGACTCTTTTCTAACCCACTCTCATCTCACTGGTTTTACATGCCTTACTCCCACTGCGACTTGCAGTGGGAGTAAAAGTTGGTTGTGACGGGGTTAGGGGGGGATGCATTTAGAAACCAAAAAGCAGAATCAAATTTAATTTTTTATGGGCATATGTTACTGTGTTTGAAGTTTCACTTTCCCAGTCCTACTTCTACCTCACTTTAAAATCAAAGGTAGACTTGAAATCGATGAAATCACAGAAGTGCTCAGGGGAAAGTAAGCTGCTAAATATCACCAAGGAGATAAAGACTCAACATAACTCCGGTCCTTTTCACATCTTTCACCCCGCCCATCCCCCTTTCAAAGGCTAATGTCATGTTAGAGTACGACATCGATGACGCCCAGGCTCTCCTAGAGAAGAATCTATCCACGGCGTCTCGCAATCTGGAGACGCTCGAGGACGACCTGGACTTCCTGCGGGACCAGTTCACCACCACCGAAGTCAGTATCCTTCCACTGTGTAGCTGCGAAATGACAGCGAGAGAAAGTTTGTACATTTTTGTTTTTTGTTTTGTTTTGCACCCTGTTTGTTTAGTTTTGTCAAATCAGTTTTGTTTGTAAATTGTCACATTGTTTATTGAAGCAGAAACAGTGACATCTGCTGACGAAAAGGTGAAACTGCGTCTGCTGCACACCTCCAACGTTGAAGGATTTTAAGCAAATAGAAGTGTTGCTGCTGCTGTGTGTTTTGTTTTTTTGTGTTTGTTTTCTCCTTAACTCCTCGCTCCCTCAGACATGGCACGAGTCTACAACTGGGCCGTAAAATCAAGGAGCAAAGAGAACCTCCTCAAATCTGCAGACAAGTCTTAATATCAGCGTCCGCACCGCCTTCTGCAAACGATTTCCTCCTTAGTCAATAAAAAAAGAAAAACAAAGCCCTCAAAATGTGTATGTTCCCCCCAGAGCTCTGTCAAGCTCTGACTCCCTCCACTACTGTTTTCTGTTGATTTGTTAATTTTTAAAGTATTTTTTCAAGTAAAAACGAACAAAAAAAAAACAAATGCAACGGGGCAGTTTTTGTATTCTTCTTAATGATTTAAATGTTTAGTCAGATAGTGAACGAGTTGCACCTTCTTTTTTCTTTACTGCATTTTTCCACCTTTCCGCCCCTCTCCTCCTCAACCTGCAACAAATAATCACATCTGGGACCTTACACTTCAGTCGATTGAAAATCACCCAGTTGCCGTTGTAGAATCGGGTTGGAAGGATGAACGGCGCAGAAGATTTTTTTTTTTTACTCACTGCAGGACTTGAAGGAGTTCAGAGGGATCAGCTGTAGTCCTCCTTGTTCCTCCCTTTATCTCCTCCTCTTCCTCCCCTCTCAGCTGCTGCTCTGTCTATATTTATTTGTCTCTCACTGTATTCATCATTAACAAAGAATGAAGTAAAAGAAGAACACCTGGGCAAAGAGATGAGACCTCGATCTGCTGTTCTTTCTGTTATTTCTGCTCATTTAAACCGACGAGACACAAAGGGCTCAAAGTAACTGCATGTCACAAAGTGAAGTCTTCTCTAAAACTATAAAGACTTTCAAGCATGAGTTATATAATCATACACATATAAATACGGCCTGTAGGTTTCTATAAGAATTTTAAGGGTGAAGCTGTTGAGATGGAAAATGTAACAAATGTTCGTTTTTAGGTGCGTGCTGTCTGACACCTTGTGTACCTCATGCAGCCGTTTCAGGCCTTAATAATAGAGCACGACTGATTAATCAGCCAAACTATTGTGGCTAATTTGATCACAGATATGCACATTATTTCTCCGTTAAATCACCAGTCAAATAGCATTTAATTTGAGTTTCATTGTATTTCTCAACAGTTCAACTAATTGTTAAATTGTTGTTGGTTTCAGGTGTTTTAAGTTTAGAACTAATCGTAATTTGGGACAGCTCCACCTTTTAGTATGCTTATCGGCAAGTCTGCACCACAAAGGTAACACAAGTTCCTCTAACATTTAAACACATTCTACCTTAACAGTTTCAAATATTTATTTTTCTCGGCATTTCAGGTGTTTTTGCTGCAAATAGTCAAACCTGTTCTGTGTAGTATCTCGTTGCCTCCACCCAGTGGTAAAATGTGGTACTATATCACAGCTGACTGGACTAGTTCACTTTTATCATACAGTACAGTGAGTGTGTGGAAGTCTTGGATGTGTAACGTGGCTTCATATTTATCTTAAGTCCTACAAATGCTTTTTCTTTAAATTCAAAACTTTGCCTGGTTATTCTGAGCTAGCATCTGGCTAGCTTAGTTTAGTACAAACCGTAGAAAGAGGGGAGCTGAGCCTGTTTGGGTCCAAAGGTCACACAACAGTTTAAAACTAAATACTTAATACATTAGGTACCCCTCCCCCCCAAACAAACACATACTCACACACAAGATCTTTTCATCTGCACATGGATCAGAAAATCATTCAAAAAATGTCAAATATAGAGTGAGAATAAATTCTGCAGAGCCTTATTGTCGGCTTTTGTGAGGGTGCAGTTTTGTTGACGGCTACCTCGTTACAAAGCTTGGTAGTATTTTGCATTCAGTGCGTGGATGCAGCCTCAGTGAAACCAAACTCTGCCAAGGACCCTGGCAGAGAAAAGCCCCAACAGTGCCAGTAAATCAACCTAGGTATGTGTCTCTGCAAACCCTGACTGCTCTGCTTTTTCCATCATACGAGTGCTTCCCTCCACCTGCCTTTATTCCTCCTTCCCTTCCCAGAGTCCTGAGGTGACTTTTTCCCAGCAACCACGTCTTTGTTTGAGCCACGCTGAGCCACGGATCAATAAAAGAGGCTTGTGTGTTCGGGGGGAGCAAAAAAGGGGCAAAAACTTTTAACAGAGTGGAATTCCAAGTCGGCTAAAAATGCTGCTTTCAGCTTCAGTGATATCATATGACTCGACAGTTTGCGTTGAAAGAAAACTCATTTGCCTTCCTCACAGTGGAGCCAAAAAGCATTAACAGTCGTTCCCAGGCCTTTAGCGGCTGATAGGGCTTCCAGTAAAGAAGAGGCCATTACACATTACGCTCAGATTGAATTGTGTTTTTTAGGGGAATCGGATGAATGACTTCCAAGCATGGTGGACTTCTGGAGTGCTATTTGACTCTCTGATTGGATTTGTTCAAACATGGAGAATAAGATGGAAAAACAAATAGCGCTGTCTTTTAAATACGTGATTAGACCTCAGACTGTAAATATTAATGGACGAAGCCTGAGTGATGTCAGCCATCTGTTACATCATCATCAGCAATAGCCGCCATGTTGGAAGCTACTTCAGATTTCACCAAAATACCAAACCAGTGATCCTCAACGTTTGGACACCAAGCTAACTGCTCCTGTTTCCAGTCTTATACTAAGTTTGCTTACTAACTGGCTGCTTGAATAGTTACTACCTACCAGAGAGACTTTAAACTGGCTCCTCTCGTTGAACTTTCAGCAAGAAATACGCTTTTTTTAAAGGTTGAACTTTTGTATTTCTTTAGGACAGTATTTTCAGAGCAGAAGCAAGATATTACAGAGTGTAGAGATAGCCAACATTGTTCTGTACCAGCAGAGCAGATCGCCCCGCTGGCTGACATCTGGTGAAAGAGTCTTGGCAGCCCATGAGGTGGCGCTTGGCACACAGGAGACTTTGCATCCACATCCACCCACACAGACCTCAACGCTTCCTGAGCTTTCTGCACTGTGACATCCAATCGGGAACGTTAGAAGTAGAAGAAACTTGATGATGATGCAACAAACACAACAAAATAAAATTAGCTAATTAAAGCAACATTATGGAGTTTCAAAACACGAGAACATCAGGCTTTCTTTCTTTATTCTTCGAAGGATATTTGCAGGTCAGTCTTTTCTGTCTGGAAACATTTCACTCATTTCCATTTAGAATAATTCAGTGTTTACAGATATGGTAATGGACCGTCATATGAATCATTTTCAATCAAGTCCCAAAACATGTATCTAACCTTTTTGTCAAGCTTTAGTAAGGAAAAAGGTTCCGCAGCCTTGACAGGAAATGTTTTCTCATTCACACATTTGTTACATGACAACCCCGGTGTAAGATCTCACCATTTCCCCCTCTTGATACATTCATCATGTTAAAATGAGATAACACAACCAAAAGTCTTTGGAGACATGTCAAAAGAGGGCAAAGAGTGTGTGAAAATGAAGCGCTCACATATCTAGAGAGGACTTTAATTAAAAACTGCAAGATGAAAGGTGTTTGTGGAGAAGATGTAGCGGAGACGTTGGTGTCAAATAAGTGTTACCGATGTTGGCCAAATTATGTGGGGGGACATTCGGCACAAATGTGTAACATACTGATGCATCTAATAACTAACAACTGAATGTTTCTTTTCAGTCTTTAAATGTCAAATATTACACATGTCTGGTAGATTAACCAACAACATAGGATGATACACTGGTCCTAAACTAATCCTCTGAGAATAAATAAGTTTGTACGGGAATCTGCATGTAAGAATATATGTGAGATGTTGCCATCCAATTCTGGTTGATTTTTACTGTCCCTTCAAAATCCCCTTTTTATTACTTTATCTCTCCTGGAATTTGTAGAAACACCCACATGGGCCCAACATCTTGAGTGAAATTTAAAAACCATTTATGTTATAGTAAAACCATTGTCTTTTTAAAGGTTAATCTGACACATGTCTAAACTTGGCAGATAATTGTTAAAAACTCATTTACATGCTTCTTTGAATGTTCCAAGTGTCCAGATTCGGAAGTTGTTCTTCTGACTTTTGTGTTTTTCCACAAATGTTATGTAATGTAGAAACAATATGGATGCTCTAAAGATAACGTCTTAAATCTTATTGCTCAAAACTCATCAAGGCAACTCCATGTTTCAACCTTCACCATAAATATACATGTAAGAGAGTACCGTAAAACCCAGGATGTAAGTCCACAGGTGTCTCCCAAAGGAGAAAAAGTTCTTAACGGTCTTCCTGTGTGACAGTTTCAATTACTTTCTGTAAAGTCCATAACGTGCAATTTCTGAGGGAGAAAAGCTGTTAGAAAGTGACATCACCAGCTGGTCTGTGTTGCTTTGTATGTCGGACCACTTTGCATCTTGAAGCGGCCACTTGCCATACACGATGAATGGGGGTCGATTTTCAATTGCATCAGGTTGTGTGCAGTGGCTGATGTTGGCGGCTGCACTTGTGGTCTTGGGGTGCATGTCTGAACATTTAAACTGGTATATTGGTTGCATCAGTAAATAGCACAAAGACAACGTTTTAGATGAAAACAAAGGCAATAATAATCTGTTTTACACATTGGATTTTACAGTACTTTTTTGGAAAAATTCAGACTCGCAGGTCGTGTTAATCTCAACTTTCTTAATACCACATGAAGCAGGGTTAAACCTTTCCACACATTGGGCAAAACAAGGATGTTTCACGCAGTGTTCTTTAACTGATGATAGTTTAATAGTTTGGATCCATTAGGTGGAGTGTAACAAAATGAAAACAGAAAGTTTGATGAGATATTACACTTGTGTACACATATAATAAAGGCATGAAAACCACCTGCCCAGAGGTAACCTCGTAATTTCTCTCATTCTTTTATCTCTGTTGGCTCAATTTCGATGCCTGCCAACTGGACTATCTACGCATGATTATATTATCCATAGGCGTGCATTGTGGGTAGTGTGGTTCTCTTGTGGAGGCCGAGGTCCGGTCCATCTCTGTTTGCTTTGCTTTCAAGAAATAATTTCCAGCTTGTGTAGTACCCTTCAGATGTCCAAAATCAGGCTCCAGTTGGACTTGGCTGTTAAGGTGCTTTCTGGCTCCAACATTCATGTTGATCCACCTTAAGGAATCTGCCTCTTTCAGTCATGCTGTACATGTCGTCTCTTTCCGCTTAAGGAGACAATTATAAACTGCATGGGTGGTGATTTTTTGTTATAGCGCAATATTTAGCAGAATGATAATGGATATAACCATCCAGCCAATGTCATTGAGCTCACTGGAGGCCTAAATTGCTCCAAAGAGAAATAATATGGTCTCTGGCAATAAAATCAAGTTCCAGGAAAGAAATCCATCTTCCCTTGTTTTCAGGACCTCCAGGACTCCTCCATTGAGCTCTGATGGTACAATGTAGAGCAATATTTCAGCTCAAGAGAAACACTTGTGTTAACAAGGAATGACAAAGGAAGGTTGAACCTAAAGATACCGACTGAGCTTTCGAATGATATGTTCTAGGAAGCGGTTGAACATCAACGTAAAAGTGATCGTTTTGTATGTGATCATGTAATTGCATATTGGAGGAGAGGACGAGATTAAGAAGAAGGGGTAAGAGAAGTGAAGGACGAGTATATGGGAGAATGAGCGATGAAACGAGTCAAGAGTGTCATCATGTTGGTGAAGAGCCAAAAGTGGATCCTCTCTCTAAGGCCTTTCTTAGACTTTCAGGGAGG